TGTGGCTGCAAAAGACCCGGGGGGGGTGGTGAGTGCTGCCCCGCTCGGAGGCTGGCGGCTATGCAGCCACAGGAAGAGGTGACTCACCACTTGGTGAGTTTAAATAAATAAATAAATTTCTGTATACCCTGCACCTGAGTATATATTCGGTAAGTTACAGTAATATGCAGCAGGTTTAAAACAAACAAAAAGTAAGCTTTTCCTTCACGCAGCGCAGAGTACTCACCATTTTGTGAGTTTAAATAAATAAATAAATTTCTGTATACCCTGCACCTGAGTATATATTCGGTAAGTTACAGTAATATGCAGCAGGTTTAAAACAAACAAAAAGTAAGCTTTTCCTTCACGCAGCGCAGAGTCAACTTGTGGGACTCCTTGCCAGAGGATGTGGTGAAGGCTAGAACTTTAACAGGGTTCAAAAAAGAACTAGATAAATTCACAGAGGTTAGGTCCATCAATGGCATCCCTAGCCTCTGTCTGGAAACGGGTGACAGGGGATGGATCACTTGATTTCCTGTTGTGCTCACTCCCTCTGGGGCATCTGGCATTGGCCACTGCCGGAAGACAGGATACTGGGCTAGATGGATCTTTGGTCTAGCTCAGTATGGCCACTCTTACGCTCTTCTGAGCGAATAGAAATGAGAATTTGCCTTTTCTGATCAGATATGAGACTCTCTTCAACAGAAGAGCAATTCCTGCTCAGTGCTCAAAGCCTTTAATTAACATCTGGGGTGGGGAACCTAAGGCCTGGGGGCCAGATGCGCCGCCTGGATCCAGGCCCTGAGGCTCGGGGGTCTCCTCTCCTCCCCCAAGCATTGGGGAGCACTGTGGGGCTGGAGCACACAAAAGCTACTAGCCTGGGTCCCCCAAGCTCTGTGTGTGTGTGTGTGTGTGTGTGTGTGTGTGTGTGTGTGTGTGTGTCGTCCTCAATTGGGGGCCACATCAGTGAGGGTTTTTTTGTTATTAATATGAAAGCACAAAACCAGAATCTTGCACTCTTTCTCTGAATGATCCAACTATGTTAACTTTGGGAGCGCTACACCACAATATTTACTGTAACTATCTGTGGTTAAGTGTATCTTTACCAACAGAACACCACTGGCCATCACCAGCTAAAACCTCTCCAACGCATCATTAGTGATCTTCAGCCCATCCTGGACAATGATCCCTCGCTTTCACAGGCCTTGGGAGGTAGGCCGGTCCTTGCCCACAGACAACCCGCCAACCTGAAGCATATTCTCACCAGCAACTACACACCACGCCATAATAACTCGAACTCAGGAACCAATCCTTGCAACAAACCTCGGTGCCAACTCTGCCCACATATATACACCAGCAACACCATCACAGGACCTAACCAGATCAGCCATACTGTCACTGGTACATTCTCCTGCACATCCACCAACGTAATATATGCCATCATGTGCCAACAATGCCCCACTGCTATATACATCGGCCAAACAGGACAGTCCCTACGTAAAAGAATCAATGGACACAAATCTGATATTAGGAATGGCAACATACAAAAACCTGTAGGGGAACACTTCAATCTTCCTGGACACACAATTGCAGATCTAAAAGTAGCCATCCTGCAGCAAAAAAACTTCAGGACCAGACTTCAAAGAGAAACTGCTGAGCTACAGTTCATCTTTAAGTTTGACACAATCAACTCTGGATTAAACAAAGACTGTGAATGGCTTGCTAACTACAAAAGCAGCTTCTATTCTCTTGGAATTCACACCTCCAGATCAGCTGCTAGAAGTGGGCCTCATCCTCCTTGATTGGATCCACCTGGTCATCTCCAGCCTGATCCTGGCCTGCATATTTATTCCTGCTTCTGGAAATTTCCACTACATGCATCTGACGAAGTGGGTCTTTGCCCACGAAAGCTTATGCTCCTACACTTCAGTTAGTCTATAAGGTGCCACAGGACTCCTCGTCGCTTTTAGTAAGTCTTTCTAGACTCTTAGTATTACCGTACTCCACTTATATCACATTAAATGTCTCTCTTCCTCGTATTAGAAGATAAGTGGCTACTAATACCCAATACTTTTTCAGTGTAACAGTCAAACTACGTGAGACAGTCCTGAATGGAAGACTTAGTACAAGGTAATAATTTCCTTACAATATTTGTAAGGCCACAAATTTAATCTTCATTATAACATGAAGTAATTAATGAAAGTAAAGTGGATACATTTGGTTCAAGTCCTGGAGTTACCACATTAGGCTTGGGAACATTAGCAAGCTCGTTTGAAAACAGTGTCAACATAATTATCAAGGGAAAAAAAAAAAAAAGTTAGTGCTAAAGGTGGTGGTGGACAGAAGGGGAAGCACAACTACTCCAAGCATTACTAATTAACTAGCTACATTTTGAATTAATGCTGATGCAGTACTATTTAGATAGAAGGGACAGTCCTTATAGGCAAACAGTGGGGTTGCTTATAGCTAGTGGGATAAATCCTCTAAAAATACAGGAAATACTGATTCTTTTCTATCACAGAAGCTACAAAAGGTAGTGGTACCTACTTGCACATTTTACTACTGTGCACTACTAAATGGCCCACGGTTACTGCTTAAGGTAGATAGATATGATCAGAAGAAACCAATCTTGTGCCATCACTCACTTTCTGCATTTAGGAACCGGATTGCTAGAAGTTCAGGTTTAGGGCTTTCATCTGCAAAGTCAGCATGTGTGTTCCAGACCCATGCCCTGTCACTTGCAGCATTAGGCTTCAGCTCCATTAAAGGTGTAACTACAAAGAAAAAGGATCGATTAGTCCTACATGCACATAACATTTTGAAATACATTTCCACAAATGCCCCACAAATACATTAAGAAAGTTAGCTCTTAAGATGTCAAAGATGTTACACCTCACAGGAGGGGTGATGTGGGGGGGGGGGGGGCAGGGGTAAGGGATGGTGCCCATATTGTTCCAGGACGTGGGAAAGAACAATCTGCTATAGGAGGACAATACTGACAGTGTAGTTGACTAGAAGTGTCATTAATGCAAAGAGTCACAGTTTCAATGCATTCTAAAATTAAAGCGTTCCCCTATTGAAGGCAGGGGTAGTTGAGTCAACTACTTTCCTCCTCTTCTCCCCCCCTCC